TTTGTGAATTTACTCTGAAGATAGGCCTCAAAGTTCTTTCTGCAGATATGCTGCAGGATATTGCTTCTTAAGGGAAAACCTTTAACTCTTTGCAGAGCGATAATGAGAAGACAGTAGAAAGATAAAAGCATGTGACTATTTTTGTATGAATATGCATTGACACGCAGGTGAATTGAAGTTGAGATTATCACGGGCTCAGGTCTAGCCCTCTCTTCCACATTCATCTTGTCTTTAAAGCACTTCACTGCCAGGTAGGATATTTACAGGTTAAAAAAAAAAAAAGAAAAAAAAAATGTTTTATTAAAACCTGTGCAGGAGCTTAGCTTGGCTTGACTTGGTAGTTTGGATGCTGTCACAGTGGGTACATTTTCTTTCATGATTTTGAGGAGGGAGAGGGAATTTGGAGCCCTTGAACCTGCCTTCTCCCAGCCCTTTTTGCAGGGGTCTTGTGCAGTTTTCAAGCACAGCCACGGGGTTACACCCAGGCCTTTGTAAAGAGATTGTTCTACAGCCAGTCCAAATCTATTGCAGACCCTCATTTTCTGTGCTCAGTTGAGACTGTTGCTGACCTCTGAAAACCACTGTTGGAGACTGCATTTTGTGCCAGTATTTTTAGTTGACAGTTCTTGTGAATGGAATAAATCACAAGCTGAAATACATCCCTTGCAGTTACCGGTCACCCTCAGTAGTACACAGCCTGCTGCAGCTCAGCTTCTTCACCAATGGATTAGTTTGAATACTGTAGTCCTAGTAACCTTGGCAAGTGGCAGCACATGTTAGCCAGCAAGAGTTCAATCTCTCAGTCACACACTGGAAAAGAGTATGGAGATGTGTCTGCAAAAATCACCTGGGTCGTGGCTCTCCTGCTTTGTGCTAAACTGAGACAGATCCTGAAGATGTGCTAATTGTGTCGTGTAGAGAAAGCCAGCAGGGGATATGCATTTACTGTTACAACCAACATTAAAGCTGGTGGGTCTGATTTTTCACAGTAAGGCAGCTAGACATTGAGCCCTGAATGGCCTTTTAGGAAAGCTGTGAAGGACTACGTTGCCCTACAGTCTTTACTTTCATTGATGGTTGTGCAGCTGAAATGTATACTGCTGTCACTCGAGAATGCTGCATTAAACAGTTGTCATCAGTATACTTCCATCCATGATTTCTATCTGTACTATTAAAGCACCTAAAGTGTAGTCTTTTTTTATGAAACTGTTTAAGGCTACATTAATCTGGGCACTCCTTATGTCTCTCGAACCTATAAAACAAAACAAAAGGATGTTGGACAATGATGAAAGAGAAGGGAACTCATATATGGCTTTAAAGCAAAAATTATCCCCCGATGCTGTTTTTCTTCTTAACTAAAATTGGAAAAATATTATTACTTGTTCAGATAAACAGAAAGAAAAAACTGGGGAAGGTCACTGAGATACAAACTGATAAACTTTGTTTTAAAATGTTTTTTTAAATATTGAGAAATAGTAATTTTCAAACACAACTTTTTCTTGAAACTGCATGGACTGAAGTGGAAAATGGTGGTTTGCTGTTGAGCAGAAAGCACTGTTGTAGAGTCTGGAATGTATGCCAAGGGCTATGATTTAGTGCACAGCTTAGGGCAAATCATTTAATCTCTTGGACTCTCAACTTTCCTCAATCATAAGTTTAGGACAGGGATGCTTCTATAAGATCCTTCGGGATTTCCCCCTCATACCTTTTTCAGTTGTCCAAATAATAACTTGATTGCTTACTGAGCAAATGGCAGTAGGACTGTGGTTCCTAGTAAATCAGCCACTCTGTTGTGGTTCATCAGTTGCTTTTTCTCCACCAGGCTTTGTATGGGCACACTCAGGCAGTGACCTGCCTTGCTGCATCTGTGACCTACAGCATCTTTGTGAGTGGATCCGATGACAGAACCTGCATCATCTGGGACCTGAACCAGCTGACATATATAAACCAGCTTCCTGCCCATGAGGCAAGCCTCTGTTGTGTTGCCATCAACAATTCAACAGTAAGATCTTCATTTGTCATCTTTCTTCTGATGTATCCATGACCATTTCATAATAATTTAATGGGTGCTCTTCCCAATGTAACAACAACCTGAGAGTCTGATACATTGATTTTTTTTGTTTCTACAGAGATTGCTAATAGTGTTCTTAATGATGAGAGGCAAGCACTAAAAGCAACATCTTAGACTGAATAGCCAAGTAGAAGCATCTTAGAATGGGTAGATAGCAAGATTAAACAACTTTTAGTTTACAGAGCATGAAATATTGTCCTGGTAGCTCCTGGATTTGACTCACCCATAACCTTATTGCCTCCAGTGTTTCTTTAACTTCTCCTGACATTCATACAGCAGAGCCATGTTAGCTGAGGCATGTTAGACCTCAGTCTGCATGTAATTTCCTTACACCTTTGTGGTGACAATGTTGGCTTTACTTTCCCTTCTACTCTCAGGTGTGGAGTGGAGGCTCTTGATAGTGGTGAGTATAAGTCTGTCTTGGTCTGTGCCTGGCCAGAATTGCATGCATGTTGATAGGAAAATATTCTGTATTGGATTTTACTGTAAACACTCTGGATGAGAATTTTTCCAGCCTTCTACCTCCCAAAATTTTTGCTTGCACATTTGTATTTTTTGTCTCTCTTAATATACTAGAGCATGATTCCAACTGCTTAGACAATTCAAGGTTGGATCCAGTACCAGAGCTTGTACAAAGGGAGGCAAAACTGAGTTCATAGCAGTAAGAAACCAAGCAGACATTCTCTATTTAGTCTGTACCAAAAGAGTCATCTCAGAGCTTTATTAGCCATGCAGTCTGATGGTTAGTAATTGAGGGTGGGAATTAACTAGTCTGTTCAGTGCCAGCTCAGCTTCTGGCCCCAGGGCTCCTAGTTAGTATAAAACAGCCAGTGGCTTCAGCAGGCCGGTTCAGAATACCCTGGTGGTCCCTCATGAAGTCAGCTGAAGCAGTGCCATGCATTCAGAAATGAGTGGGTGGGCTGGTGCAGACCATAGGCTTGAGACCCCAAGAGGATGGAGTCCTCTCCTTTCTATGCACCAGCCCAAAACTGACAGTAGCATTTTTAGTTGGTAGCCCCTCTTCCTAGCTGTCCAAAACAAGATGGTCTGTGCTGGGAAGTCTGGTGATTGATCCAAAAGCAGTTGTCCAGCTTGCTGGAGTGCAAATATTTAAACTGATTTGACAATTGTCTGCAGAAATGTTCATTTAAAAGAGGAAAAACCTTAGGAAAATATGACTGAAACTTCAAGGAAAGAAAGATGAAGGGGTTCATATGTTGTGGATGAAAAATTTTTTTTTGACATCAGCAGAAAAGGATGTTTAATTCTTTAATGTGTTTTTGTTTAAATTTTCTATGTATATTTATATATTATACTGTGAAGACAGAAACAAAATGTTTCCATTGTGCTAAATTAAATATTTTGATTGATACAATAGTGTATGTTTATTAAGAAGTTTTTTTCCTGGAAAATACAGAAAGTTTTGAAATTTGAAAGTTCTGAACCACACACTGTTCTGTGAAATAAGAACCCTGTGCAGCTCTTTGTTATTTGATCGTAGATTTTTATATTTGCTTGAGCGTCTAGAAGCTCCATGTATAGATTCAAACCTCATGGTGTTAGTATCACATAGACAGAGAATAAAAAGGCTGTCCCAAAAACTTCATAAGCTAAGGGGGATTGTAAAAGCTTGCTGTAACTAATTCTTTCAGTTAGTTTTAAATCCCTGGTCTAGACCTGAAAAACACCATAGATCATTGCGATATGCCCCCACATTATGTAGTGTCATGCAGGTAAGGTAGTTGAAATTTGATCTCTTCAATTATTTTCACCTTGTTTTGAATGCACCATCCTTGTTTTACCTTCAGAATTCTGCCCTGCAGTGTGAGGAGCCCTGGCCCCAAATCAGGCAGGAGTGAAGTACAGTGTTAGTTGATTTAATCCAGGTGCATGCTGCTAATTTAAGGGCACACTGGCCTTTGCCAGAATCAGCTGACTTTGCTGGTGGTGTTTTTTTTAACTGGTTCTTAGCAGGCATCAAGGGTGGAAAAGTTAGGTGGAATTTCAGTTAGTAACTTGATCAAAATCACTTTTGATAAAATAACTTAAAATTGCAGTATTGGCTCTTGGTTCTGCGTGTTTCTTGCCCCTAAGGGGTTACCTGTGTATCTGCTCCTTACATGCAGTCTGTGGTAAGACTATGTACCTGCACGGAAGGGAGAGGATAGGAAAAATTCAGTTGCAAAGGATGTTCTCTGCATCAGAAGTGCAGCTCAGTGAATGCTGAGCTGGTCATTGGTCAAATACAAAACACACTCTAAAAATGCGATGACATTAAGCTCCCTGTGAGGGGCAGAGGAGGACTGTAAAATCACCAAAGTCTCCACAGCTAAGCAGGTGAACGCCATGTCCTTGTTTAAGAGAGCGTTTATTTGGCAAACTTAAAAGAGCACTAGTCCTGACCAGAACCTGTGCTAGGCATTGCCTGTACACAATCACCATCCCTGACAGTAGCTAGGTCAGTCTGTCAGTCTGCTTTTTTAGTAAAAGCCTGAATTTTCTGGAAAATAGAAAGGGAACATTTAGAGAAATGTTTTTGTTGTTTTTTTTTTTAAAAAAAAAAACCACCACCATACTTTCTGCTTTATCTTGCTAAATCTGAGACAGTTGGTTTGGGTTTCTATGATGTAGAAATGTCATCTCTGGTTTAAATCATCTGCCCAGAATAAAAACAAAGGTCAGAATTTAAGTCAGAGCAACTCTGTAATTTATAATCAGCACTTAAGAGTTCTGAGGAGGATGAGTGTAGGATTTTGAAACATTGCTTTCTGCTTTGTTACAGGGTGATATTATATCTTGTGCTGGATCTTACCTATATCTGTGGACAGTCAATGGCCAGCTTCTTGCAAGCATTAACACAACCTGCAGCCCTGAAAGCCATATTGTTTGCTGCTGCTTTGCTGAAGTGACGGACTGGGATACACGCAGCCTCATCATCACAGGAAGCACAGATGGAGTGGTGAGGGTAGGTGCACGGGGGACAGGAAAGGAAATCCTGATTTGCTGGGGACCAGAGGCAGAATTCTGCATACTAAATGGAGGGACAGAGCTACTAAAAGCCCGTGCCACTTTCTTAACAGGGAAGCACAGGGCAGAAGCTGAGAATCAGAGTGAAATATTTGCTTCCTATCAACATTTATCCTTCTGAATGGAGAAGTCTTTGCCATTCAGGAAGAGTTTTGAAAACATGCTTCTCATCCTGGTGCGGTTTTCAAAGTAAAAATTATATTGACCATCGTAAATATGTTTGAGTCTGATTTCTGAGAATTGGTTCACAGCTCATTTTATGAAGTTATACTTTCTCAGGAGCAGGAATTCACTGCTGGTTCCACCTCCAGTCTGGTGGGAGAGCTTCCTGGGTTACTGGGATCCTTGTTAGCATGTCAGCCCCACAATCCCACCAGCTCCCTGCATACATTTCTCCAGTGTGACGCCCGGCAGCACAGTGGCCAAGGGAGAGATGACACTGAGAAATTTTGTTCTGATGTTAAAAGTCCAATTTCAACCCCTTGCTGGGAAGCAGACAGCCACATCTCTCTCTTGTTGCTTTGTTGTATTCCATGCTTTTTCCATTTTTACCTCCTTGCTGGCACAGCTGTGGAAGACTGAATACACCTATATCCCAGGCCAAGATGTTAGACCGCGGAGAGGCACGATGGAAGAGCCAGGCAACATGGGTATGGCCACAGGGTGGACTGTGAACTGCAATGTGACTATGTGCTGCAGACCTTGTTTGGTTGTGGGGAAGGAGAAGGTGTGTGAGCGCAGTGATGTGAAGGGAAGATGGTGCAGGTGACTAGTACAATGTTACTGTAACCAGCAACAGAAGTAGTGAGTAGCTACTGCTCTACGTTAGAGACAGAGAAGAGCCCTCAGACACCAGTCTCATGAGCACATCATGCCTGGATGAAGCTGAAAGTTTCTTCCTAGGGTCTGTAATAGGTTATTCCAAGTTTGATGGATCACCTTTCTGCATAAACATATGCAACTAATTAACTATCCTGGCTCCACGAAGCCTGTTCCCTTGGCACCTCTACTGATGGCCTGTACTAAAATATTCTGGCATAATGTCAGAGTGGGCTGTGCCAGACCCTGCACTGGGATGGAACTTTGTTGTCTTTGCCACATCACATGAGGTCAGAGGCCCTTCAAACTGGTGGGAGTCCAGCAGCACGTCCTAGTGCATGGATTATTCAAGGCTATGCCAAGCTGAAGCTGATGCCCTGGAGTTCTCACAGAGCTGAGATTAATAAGATGATGGGGCTACAGTTCTGACTGGTATTAGGCACAGCTCAAGCTCACTTCTCTGTTCTAATACAGGAGCTGAAACCTGCCAGGGAGCTTTAAAGGCATGTCCTAAATAGCACAGCTTCTCTTTGCAGCACATTTTATAAGAGAAACAAGTGTGGTGTTAGTATGTATAATTTACGCTACTTATTTGTTGTCATCCTGATTACAGATATTCTCTGGTGTTTAAATTTTAGGCACACAATTTGCATAGCTATAGAGTTCTAGATGTAACATCTGCACAAAAAGATATTATACAGTATCTGGGCATTATCACTGAGATCCTCAGAAGTGCTGTTTGTGGAACTTGGCATCTACATTACTTAGATGATGTGAAAATATTTATGCATACAGTCGCATATTGGAAATGCCAAACTAGATGTCCATCCTACCTGTTGTCATGTCTCTGAGGATAGCTAGAGGTACATGCTTCTAGGGAAGGTGCAAGAACACCAGAGATGCCAGATGTGAGATAGTTTGACTGTGGTAGCTACGTATTTGGTTTCATTGTGGTCTCTAACCAGAGATTGCTGTAAGTCTAAACAAAAGACTTAATATTCCTTCCAAAATCCTTGTGGTATTCTGTAGTCATTTTGCAGATACTTTTTACATGTAGAAATGTCCAATTTGTTTAAGAATTCCCTAAGTTCTTGTCTGTAACTTCCTGTGGCAGGTATTTCCATGTTCTATTTACATGAGGTATGATTTATATCAGGTATGATATTTACATCAGGTATGATTGCATAGGAATGCCTCGGAACAAACTGAGATTTTAGCTATTTTTAAAATTTATATCTTAAACAGTTTTCTAAACGAGGACTTAAGAGCTGCCCATGGGAGCACAGCAGAGTACTCCTGTTTGTGTCTTTTTCAGAGAGGATCACAGAAGATGTGCACTGATCCCAGGCATCTGGTGATGGGTGCAGACACACACGTGTTTGCACATGAGCATAAGGATGCATGTTCTTAAATGCATAAAGCAACAGTGTTCTTCATTAAAGAGTTGAGAGGTGTAATCAAAGCAGTGACATGCTCCCTGAAATTATTCGGATGACTTCAGACTTATTTTAAATTGCCAAATATTCTCACATCTCATTCTACGCATTAAAGAAAATAAAATAATAATAATAATAAAATTAAAGTAAAATTAATACAAAACACAGTCATTAAAAAGATTAAAAACACTACGACTGAGTTATGTTGTTAGGTGTGTGTGTATGTATGTGTGTGTATGTGAAATGTTCTCAACATTTAATTATTGGTTCTATTATGAACAGATTTAGATAAGTTGATAATACCAGGGCTTTATGTAATTTCTTTTTACTAGGCAATTATGGGCTATATTATATCCTGGCAGCAAGGTATTGTGGGGCATCTTATTAAGCATAGAGCCAGTGAAAACTGATGAACAATTTTGCTGAACTAGGCATGCAATTTAGAAAGCAATAATACACAAATCCAATTTAGCACACAATTGATACAGCCGCACGTCAGCACATGTAACTATCATAGCCACAAATTAAATTGGGATGGGCCTATTTTGCAACAGCACAGGCTGAGATTAAATATATTTGTTCTCAACTTAACAACTTGCTGACCATAAATAATAACAATCCCATCCATGCGGCCCCCAGATACTTTCTAAATATTTATTTTTAAACCACACAACAGGTAACAAGTTTGGAAAACATCTTCTTCTCTGTCGGGAATTGAATCCCAGCCTTGCCTTGACTGGAAAACCAAGCAAGACCAACCCAGCAGTGACGGCGCTGGCTGTATCCAGGTACCATCCTTTCCTTTGCATGGCAGCTGGCACTTGTCAGAGGGACCCGTGCCACCCTCGCAGTCTCCGCCGTGCCACCCTAGGTCGGCAGGGGTTTTCATTTTATTCCGGAGTTTCTATTACTGCTGCTGTTTTGGGGTTTTGTTGTTGTTGTTTTTTTCTAAAATTTCAGTCAAATCACTCTTAGCTGAATGCACTCACTCAGGGAGCTGGCCTGGCTGACTGTACGAAGTGAGGGATGTTGGTATAGTCAGCGATCAGACAGGAGATAACCCAGGAGAGATGGCAGGTTTTGCCCAGAATAGATGTAGATAGAGATCAGTAGCTGCTGCACTGTCTCTGCACCATAGAAAAAAAGCTATCCTAGGAGGTGCTGGAGATGCTATCTCCTTAAAATGCAAACAGGAAGTTTTTTGGCCAAAGGACAACTTTGTTGTCAAACTCCACTCAGTTTGCACCGCCAGCAGTAATTTAGTTTACTCAATCCCCCTCCTGCAGTTTCATCTGCCTGCAATATTTGTTGTCATCTCCTGCTCCAGGATGTTACGATGTACTGTAAAACAGTTGCTGTCTTCCTCTCCAGAAGTGTTGGCATTTTGATAGTTCCTAAAATGGTTCCTATATTCTGCATGCTCAGATTAAGAGCACTTAGTGACTCTGATGTTGATATGCATTGAAAGTGGGAAAGTTTGAGAAGGAAGGTTAGTTTCATTAGTGTTGGTGGCACTGCATGCAGCAGAGATTTCAGTGGCTGAACCCATGACATTATATGCTAACAAGTCTAAATTCTGAATCTGGCCAGCAGATTATTTAACATTCGTAGAGTCTAAGAGAAGGGTAAAAGCTTCTGATCTGGCCAGATTGTGCACAAGTAACCCACTGAACTCCAGCAAAGTTTGGATCCAATTCTATGTTGAGTCTTAGACAAATCCTGTCTACTCAATATCACTGTTCTTCAAATTTAACATTAAGGATAATCTACTCCCTTGAATGTTGTATACTCCTAATTGCTACACATACAGGAGAAAGCCTTGATCCTATTTGCATCTTGCTCTTAAACATTTTTGTCTTTTTCTTTCTTTCTCAAGAAATTCCTCCAAGCTCCTAGTTGGTGATGACTGGGGAAGAGTCTGCTGCTGGTCTGTGGATGGGTAGGAAGAAATATCAAGAACTCTTCTTCCTTCAGTCTTTTGGATGGAGAGAAAATTACCTTTCAGATCACAAAAACATCAGACAAATTGGAAGCCTATGGTTGGGGACTGAATCTCAAAGGAGCTGTTGGATTGACCATGCAGTCAACTCTGATTGAAGTTAGAGAATGAACTCCAAAGTTGTGAAAGAGACACTGACAGACATGCACACAGGCAATGAGATTTTTGCAGTATTTGTCCTGGGAAAACTTTTGTATTTTAAATATTATTTTAGATACTGAATTTGGCATAATACATTGTATTTCACAAATAATAGCTAGCGAATAAAACTGCTTTGATTATGCCAAACAGCAATGTAGCTTAATAAAATTAACATATTCTAATTTTAATACCATTAGATCAGAAAATGCTAAGGCTTCAAACAGATGTTAAGCAAGTTTGTTGCAGTATCTTTGTTCTTACTAACATGCAAGTATGTTAATGTCTCAGTTCCTACTCTTCCTCCTTCCCTGAATCTGCATGAAAATGTATGCATGCCTTCTTGAAAGCTATTAAGTGAAGGCAGGAATTCCCAGGTTGACAGAGGTGCCTTTATCCAGCCCCATTGTGAACATGTGTTACGGTGCAATCTTTAAATTCCTAATCTCTGACTTGTTTTTTTTCATAGTGAGCAAGGCAGGCAAAATGCATGGAATGGGTGCAGATTAAGATCTAACACAGCTGGTCAACATATTTTTTCACTCTCGTCCTTCACTGCCTTCTTGACTAGCCTTGTTCTCTGGAGTATCAGTATATGAAACATACTACAGGATCTACCTTCACAATTAACCTGCATAGTAGAAGTGGGTATCTGTAGTATAAGAAGGATGAGGCCATTGTGTAATAAATTTAAGTGCCATTTGTGTCCCTAGTAGAGATGGGGAAAGCATGAAAAATCAAGCTTCTTAACATGGATTTGATGGATAGACCACTCGGTGGGTAAGGAATTGGCTGCGTGGTTGCACTCAAAGAGTTGCGGTCAATGGATTTCCAAGTGGAGAGCAGTGACAAGTGGTGTTCCTCAGGTGTCAGTACTGGGACTGGCGCTGTTTAACATCTTTGTTGGTGGCATGGATACTGGGACTGTGGGAATGAGAGCACCCTCAGCAAGTTTGCAGATGACACCAAGCTGAGTGGTGTGGTCGACACACCTGAGGGAAGGGATGCCATCCAGATGGATCTGGACAGGCTTGAGAAGTGGGCCTGTGTGAACATCGTGAAATTCAACAAGGTCAAGGGCAAGGTCCTGCACATGGGTCAGGCCAATCCCAAGCACAAGTACTGGCTGGGCAGAGAATGGACGGAGAGCAGCCCTGAAAAGAAGAGCTTGGGGGTGCTGATTGATGAGAAACTCAAAATGATCCAACAGTGTGCGCTTGCAGCCCAGAAGGCCAACAGTATCCTGGGCTGCATCAAAAGAAGCGTGGCCATGCAAGGGGGGTGATTCTGCCCCTCTGCTCTGCTCTGGTGAGACCCCACCTGGAGTCCTGCGTCCAGCTCCGGAGCCCTCGGCACGGGAAAGTCATGGACCTGCTGGAGTGGGTCCAGAGGAGGGCCACAAAAATTATCCAAGGGCTGGAGCACCTCTCCTATGAGGAAAGGCTAAGAGAGTTGGGGCTGTTTAGCCTGGAGAAGAGAAGGCTGCGGGGACACCTTATAGCAGCCTTCCAGTATCTGAAGGGGCCTACAAAGAAGTTAGAGAGCGACTTTTTGCGAGGGCATGTAGTGACAGGACAAGGGGTAATGGTTTGAAGCTGAAAGAGGGTAGATTTAGATTAGATATAAGGAAGAAATTCTTTACTATGAAAGGTTGTGAGACACTGGAACTGGTTGCCTGGAAAAGTTCTGGATGCCCCCTCCCTGGAATTGTTTAAGGCCAGGTTGGACGGGCCTTGAGCAACCTGGTGTAGTGGAAAGTGTCCCTGCCCACCCCAGTGGGGTTGGAACTAGATGATCCGTAAGGTCCCTTCCAACCCAAACAATTCTATGATTCTATGAAAATTTGAAGGAGATAAACTGATACATTAACTCCCTCCCTCACTCTCTGCACCCCCAACCCTCTCCCCACCCCCCCACCCCCCACCCCTCCTTGACCTGGTAAAGAAATTGTGTATCTTATCTTGCACACAGAAGGGCTGAGTAGCCACTTAGGCAAAGCAGTTTCCTGAACAGCACAGACAGGGTCAGGGCAGAGCTAGGGTGAACATGAACGACATTATGGTTGTGAAGGCCCTTGTGTTCATACCACCAAACACACCCATGAACAGACAGAGCCAGGAGAGTTCCCTGATTTCCACAGCAATGGGACTGGTTAGCACTAGAGGAGTGAAGCCCTGTGTGTGCTGCACTGGACAGCCAGAGATTGAAGAACTTGAGGAACTGAAGACAAGATGTTTTTATGAGTCTTCCTCTTAACTACACCATCAACTTTCTTCTTCCTGGAGGGCATTGCTTTTTTCATGACTCTTCTTTTGAATTATGTTGCTGAATGAGCAAGACTTCCTGTGGTGAACAGCTTCCTCACAGAGTGCTGAGACATGTCCTCCCCCCAACCCACCCCACAGCTCAGTTTAACCTTCACTGTGAGTGAGGTAATTGCCTGTGGAAAATATACTAATTAGAGGCTAGCTCATGATCCAGACATACAAGGAAGGCGGCATTATGTCTATGCAGATGACCTGGCTGGTCATCCTTTCTAACCTCCAGGTGTGTGACTTGTTGACTCAGATAATATCCTTCAGTGAAACATTTACGGAAAACAGGCCAAAACGCACCAATGTTTTTGCAGTCAAAGTAACCCTATGAGGCAAAGGTGGACCATGCTCATCTTTCCTTTTCCTGAGGACTGAGGAAAGGTCAATTGTTACAGAACTCAACAAAATTAGTACAATACTTCTTTCCTCTTCCCTCTGCACATTCCTGTGATTTGGATACATGGACAGCAAGACTTGGAGTCAACTGTGAATACAGCTTTACTGAACTGTGATAAAGGTGGTTAAGAGCCATGAAAGAAGCTTACTACCTGTGTTTTCATTTACCTAATAGGCATCTTGATAGCTTGCTAATTGTGTCTCCTCCTTTAGCCTTTTCATAAAGCCTGTCTTTGCCAATAGCAAATACTCCCTTTCCTAAAGCTTGCAGTGGCACCTATCTTGCACTGATGGCTCCAGTGCTTTAGACATCAATCTGACTTTGTTTGGTTTAAGAAGAGGCCAGCTGTAGGCTAGCCATGCATGGATTTGACCGGCTCACCTCCTTGTGCCTAACACGAGTTCTCTTACATCTTCAAGAGAAGGAAGCATCAGCTGTTGTTTTGAATCTCAGAGAACAAATCCAGAGTGTGCACGTGTGAATGGAAGTCAGCAGGTTAAGAATGAATGTCTTCCTGAGTCAACCTTGTTCTAATGTTCAGGGAGTTGTAATCTGGGAGAATATAAAAAGGCGAATGGGTAAAAATGGGTTGCATTTTCCTCCTGGTGAAAATTCTGATTAGGAGTGATTTGCTGTACACAAGCAAATACTTCCAGCATAACTCCGTTGTTACGCTAAGTGGCATACTGTGAACATCACTAGAGTGCTGTAACTATCCCAGAACCAACTTTTACAAGGGGTAAGTAGCTCAGGGTCAGAATTATCCTTAAAAGAAATCCAATCCTATTAGGATGAGAAATGCAGAAATAAGGCACAGTCTTAACTCTGCCCTGTAGGGGAACCAAGAAGAGAAATGTGGAACAGCACTACCTTTATGTGACTTTAAAATCAGTTTAAACTAATCAAGGACTGTAAACCCTAAAATGCCTTAATTGTGCTTATTTGATCATTCCACAGACCATCTTGCTTTCTTGTTTGGCAATAGAATTCTTCTAAATGTTACAGTGAACATTAAATACAGTCTTATTTCTGTAGCTTTCTGTTTGCTAATAAATGTTTGTGAAGCAATATTTACACAGCTGCCTGTGCACTGTAGGGCTCTAGCACCCTCATAAAAAAGAACTTGCTCAAACCTTTTTTGAGAAATCCGTGCAAACCAATCTGTAACTCCCGCGGGAAAGTTTCCCTTGTGATTGTCACCATGTGCTACTGTTCCCAAGTCCTTTTCGTACAGGGATCTCAAAGCTTGGTACAAGAGGGTATTGGTAAGGTCATCTCATTCATGATCGCTTATGGCTGTCACAAGGGAAGTTACCTGAGAGCCATATGAGCTAAAATAATTCACAGGAATATGCTCCCTTCTGCGTGAAAATGCACCTTGTCATGCTTGTCTCATGTTTCAGGAGGGACATCCCAAGGAAGTTGAAAAAGAAGACTAGAAAAGCTCTGGACCTGAGCCCAGCTCTTGTCTCCTCCTGCTTGGTACTAAGCACCTCTGAGCTGCAGTGATTTGTTTGCTTATGGCCACACAATTCACTTAGGGATCAGAGTAGTTGTTTCATTACTGGTGTCACTCTTCAGGTGTGTGCGTGTGTGCATAGCAATTGCTGTCATTGAAGTCAGCCAGGCTGATAGGGAGGTGTGAGAGGGAACACGGCTGGTGGAGGAATGTCAAGCTTCCCTATGCTTTTTGCCTTACAGACAGGTTGTCATCAGAGCTCTTCCGCCATGTCAGGAGGCTCATGGAAATTTGCCGTATGAAGTTTTTAAAAGGGAATCCCCTCGTTCCCTGCACTGGAATTAAATTTCATATGGAAACCTGGCATCCAGAACCAGGCAGACTTCAGCAGTACATAGAGATCTTGGTGACCATGAGTAATGTATGCTGTAATGAGCACTGAGCAAATGTAGGCCTTGAATTGGGGACAGCTGCACCTGTGTTCAGTGATCACTCAACGTGTTTCATACTCGAGTGTTGCAACCCTATGCGTGTGGAGGGTGGTTGGTGTAGGGCAGTCACTGAGGGAGCAACGGTGAGCGCGCTGGCTGGGTGGCTGGAGCTGACAATGCCAGGTGAGTCCTGTGGTGGAAAGA